AGATACAAAAGTGACCGAAATATACTTTCCTATAACCACCTCCCTGCTGGTTAATTGAGCCATAATATTGGTTCAATTTGGTTAAATAGAACTGAAAATTAACAAAACTGTTAAGACTTTTTAGCGGTTAGGTTTAGTTTCAAGAAAATCCAAAATCAATTGGATTTTGTAATGGGTGTTTGTGTGTGAGGTTGTGATTTTCCAATTTTTTCATGGTTTCTTATCGAATTATCAATTTAACTAAAACCGAAATCGATAAGTACAAAACCATTTGAGAGCGATATAAAAACTGATGAATAAGAGCACTTGGTCAATTCTGTTTCGATTTAAAAAGAAAATCTAAAGTCGAATGGACAGCCGTAGCTACACTACTCTCTACGACCTTGGTTATTATAAAGAGAAAAAATAAGATGATTACTTAATTTTGAATTTATTCAAACTGGGCAACTTGATTCCCCTTCCTTTCCCTAGAGAGTTAATACTTTATACTTATTTCTATCCCGAGATACAAACTCTCCAAGTGGATTTACATGGTTAATATAATTAGAGGAGCATTGATAGTTTGATTTGCTCCTTAATCTTTGAAATATAAGTCCATGTTATATCTTGGTTGTCGATGATATTCAAAACACATATGAATGCCCGTTGTTGAATGTACAAGAAAATGAGCCTAATTGAAATGAGTCAACTCGAGCTAGTTAGCTCTTAGTTTGGTTTGAGTCATACCATTTTGTCGTACTACCAATGCTGTCAGCCAAACTACTGAATCTAGCTCCCATTGAATCTAGTTCTGGTTAATTATACCCTTTTGAGTAGGCTGGCTATTTGGACCGGGACCGGATGAAAAATCGGAAACCAGACCGTATAACCCGGACCGAGACCGGACCGGGACCGGATAGTAAACAATCCAATCCAATCTTTGGGCTTAGATTTGAGGTAAAAAACCGGATAAAGACCGGATAAGAGAGCTCAACACCCAAAACTTAAGGGTAATTTGCATAAACGGTCACAAACCTTTACACTTAGTACAAAACTTAACCAACTCCTCACCCTTTTAGGCCTTAGGCCACTCAAATTCCCACAATCTCAATATAAAATCAAGACCGAATTGGGACCGGACCGGATCAAGACCGGACTGTATCCAATCCAATCTTCGGTCCTTATATTCTCAAAAAAACCGGACTGGACCGGATCAATTTGGGCCAATTTAACCGGACCGGACCGTATAGCCACCCCTACTTTTGAGTACTCAAACCATTTTATAATTGATTACTCCTGCGAACTCTGACTACTTTTTTTCCACCTCTTCCACCTCTCAATTTGCAGGCTCCTACTCATCTCTCTAGTCTAAAAGTTGTAGGAATCAAGAACTTTTTCTCCTGTTTATGAGTTCTACCACGATATAAATGAGTGATTATTTGATGAAAAAATTATTGTAGCAAATGTACCTTTACTTATGGTGTTTCTTTTTCTCTTATTTTTTCTTCTTCAAATATGTAACACTATTTTTCTCTCATTAATACACTACTCTGCAAACTTTCATTATTCCTTCTGAATTTTCTCTCATCTCTCCTTTCTTTCATGAATAGTGGGTTAAAAATTTGAACACGAAATCTAATACCATATGCAACAAAATCAAGCTATTTCAACCATTCAAATCTTCAGAAAGATGAATAATTTGGCAAAACTTCTTTGACACTAACCCATACCTAACACCCATCGAGCATGCTCGACAAAGACCAAAAGAAAGTAGATAGGTAGAACACATGGCTTTTCCCACCTCCTGATCTCCAATTCGTTCGTCAAAATTTCTATCGAACACTTAAATCAATGAATGCATGATAAACTGTTCTAATGGCAAAAAGACAAATGCATGGTAAACTGGTAGCACCAAAATTTCCCCTAGCGCGCTAGAGCCCTATACCATGCTAGTTGTTCCCTAAGGTAGAGAGGATCTTGCTTTGCTGGCTGCCCATCCATGAAAAAAGAGAGAGATCGAAGAGCTTATAAATTCATGGCCGTGGATATAGGCTTAATTTTTTATACAATCTCTCAACCCTAATCTGCACAAACCATGCTACGTACGGCAACGACAAAAAGGTAATAATGCTATGTGCCTAGCTAACCTTTCTTTTAGCTCTAGATTCTAAATATCATCTCCAATCCCGTTGCAATTAGTAATTTCAGTTGCGACAGATCCATATATGTTCAGTGAAAACTAATTTTATGCTGAAGAAGTTTTGCTAACTATATCTTGAATTGCTCAGAGTTTGAGTCGTGGTATTGTATTTTAATTTTTAATCGCCGATTTTGAGTTTTTAATTCTTTAACTCAAACCAACGTTTAATTTTAAAATAATTATTGATAATTCTAATTGTCAAAATATATCTAATAAAAATAAATACGAGATTTTATATCACTCTCTTACACGCCTCCTCAAACGAAAGTCAACTCACGAGCTTGAAGTTTGCGTAGGCCCAGCATACCTTGTGCTTTAATCTACTGTTAGTATCGAGGGTCAAGGAGATTCAAACAAACAACCACTTGGCCAAAGCAGGCTCTGATACCATGTCATAAACCAGTTGGTCCCAAGTAACTCGAATTGTTGGGATAAGGTTATTATAGATCTTATAACACTCGCTTAGATAGGGTGCGCCTATGGTGACATGTGTGTCACCGTAACTTGCACTTTTCGGACGACCTCAGTTAGAATTAGGTCGACATAATATGTTGTTTCCGTGTAATAACAGTTCCATGGTGCCTACTTTGGATATTCATATCTTACAATTGGCACGATGGAAATTGAAGATTAATGGCTTGTTTTGAAGCTGGAGTGTCCCTCTACACATTGAAGTCCTTGGGAGCTCGATAGGAAGTCCAGAATGCCATTTTTGAACCTGATCAAAAGGCTATGCCAAAACTGGGAAACTGTCTGAAAATTGGCTAAGGCTGGGAAAGTGTTTGTGAAGCCTACTTTGGAGCTCAATTCGAGAAGCATGGATGAGATTCGAGTCCAAGAGCCTCTACCACATGAAAGTAGGTATGTTTGTCTACGAAATAAGCTGTCTTCTAGCACAAGACTGAAACGACAGATTAGGTCGACCTAATCCTATATGATGCCGACCTAAAAATGCAAGTTACGGTAACATGCATGTCACTGTAGCAAAGTCCGCTTAGATAACATACGTTAGACATGCAAGCTTTTGCCATGTATTTATCATAAATATATTTGATAAATAAAAGATTGCAACATAATAATTAATGTATTAAAATGATCCGGGTAGTTAAATCCCTGGTTATAACATTGTACTAAAGCATTACAAGGCAACACAAAAAAGACCTAAGTAGATACAAAATAGATAGATAAATAGACACATCCCATTACAGTACAACATGTAAATGAAAACCCCCTTTGGATTTGCCCACGATTTTTGGAATTCATTTATTTCTTAAAGGTCGGTCTTGCAGTCAAGCTCCCTTCTGCCTTTGAACTCAAGGGCCACCGTACGGCCTGAAGAAACCTTTGCACCCCTTCGTTACATTTTGGGAGGCTTACGCCATATAGAAACTGTGAACCAATTTTTTGTAAAAATATTGTCCGCTTTGAGTCTATTTTGCACGACTTTGCTTTTGGATGCATAGTAGTAATATAATCTAGAGGTTATCCATCTCTACCTACTTCACCCTTGTAACGTTAAATATTGTAATTCTTACCAGAACTCATTCATTTGTCTTGCAAATTTATGTGAAATTATTCCTTTTAAATTACTAATTTCTCCTCTGCATTTTCTATATGAGGATTTCTCTAATATATTATAACTCTGGAAATAAATAAAAAACATAAAAAAAAAGTAGACCAACCAGACAAACATCGCAAAAGTGCCGCCCTCTCATTGGTTTCATTCATGTGGTAATTAATTAGATTTCTTCTTCTTTTTGGTGATGATTAATGGGAGCATAATTAGAGGTTATATATAGTGAGTGAAGTCTTTCCGACCATGTGACCACCACATCTCATTTCTTTCCACTTTCCGGCGACATGTTCCCAACATTTTCGCACGTGATTTGTGGTGAATTCGTGAATTTACTTCCCAACATTTTAGTTTCTTCTCTAACCTTTCTACTGTTCTTTTAGTTCAGTTTTTACCTTTCCGGAATGGGTTAGTGTACTGGTACCATCCATGATAGCCACTAAGCCGTGTAATTTTTTTTGGCAATTGTGTTATCGGGATGTTCGGAAGAGAAGTAGAATCGAGTGTTTGAGTCACGATACAGATTTTCTTTTAATTTTTTTATACTATAAATCTATAATGTTACAATTATTGATCGTATATCATTCTTTAGCCGACAATAAAGAATAAGTGTGGTGCGCGAACAAGGGTTTGACCTAACGATAGTAACACCTAACTAGTTAATTTCAAGCTTTGAATTCAAAGACAGCTTGATGTTGTCATTCCTGCTACTACTAAGCTAATATTTTGGTATCTAAGTAGGACAAACTTATACTAATGAAGGGCTTGTTTGTGTGTTTCTTACTTCTTTATTTGTGTGTCCAAAATCATGGATGGTTTTATTTTAAAGGTTTCAGGCTTTTATCTGCGCCTTCTATTGGGATCCAATACTCCTTAGTTCGTTTGGGCTGCTAGCAAGGCCCAAACTCGATGCTCCTTAAGCCATATAGAATGGGCTAACAAATTTTCCTTTTGGTTGAGAGACAATGGGCTAACAACCAATGAACCAGAGGCCCCACAGTCTTTTGGCCCTGATAACTGTTCATCATCAGGAGGCTTTCCGTCAGATTGTTAGTTTGATTCAATTAATCTCAATTTTTTTGGTGGGATCAATTCCCTTTAAATGATTGTTGGTCGAAGACTCGAAGGTTTAAATTAATAAAAAAATTCCAAATGTATGACACTTTTTTTTATCGAAATGACACACTTAATTTTGAACCAATTAACATGTAATTTCTCTGATCATATATCAATTGACTCGTAACCCAATACGACTTTGAACATTGGTTAACTCAATCTAAACTCGAGTCTAACAACGTAAAGATAAAGTTGAACTAAAGACATCGGATCATGATTCAAATTTTACATTTACCCACACAATTTAGTAGAAAAGTAGTAACTTCGATAACTTTTTTATCAAATGTCTATCCACATAATCCGGCTTCTTGAAGCCAATCACACATGTACTAACACACATAGTCAAGTCATAAGAAAACATAATTAAGGCTCCCTTGAAATCCCAAGCCTATGATCCTGCAAAATCCACATATGCTCAGCTTTGGTCTTCAACATATTCCAACACTTTAATCATCATCTTCGTCATCGTCGTCGTCATCATCCTCCTCCTCCTCCTCCTCCTGCAGCAAGATGATTCAAGATGATTCAGTGAAATGCTTACTAAACCTGTAGGGGCGATGCATCTATCTAAAGGCCATGTTTTTGTTGCTACATTAAGAAACTTATACCTCAGAGTCTGCATCATCATCTTCCTTGGCGCCATTGACTTTAGGTTTCTTCGACGATTTGGCTGGCTCTTCTTCATCATCTTCCTCTTCATTCTCATCTACACTTTCCTGCTCAAGGAACATTGTATTGACAATGAAGCACAATATAACATGACCAAGATGATGAAGGTAAAGGCTTCAGTAACAAAAACTTCCCACTGACCTGCTTCTTGTTATAGGCATTCATAAGCTTCTGGTAATCCGATTTCCTCTTGGCCGCCTTCGCTTCATACGGGGCTTTCTCCTGAACACACAAACACAGCCTTTTTCCTTGTGAAGAAGGCCTCATGAAGTCTTTTGTAGAATCAAAGAGGTGAAGCAACTTACTTCACTAGACAAGGATTTCCATTTCTCTCCTCCAGCTTTCCCCACCTTCAAATGGATTTTGCATTCACTCAATAAAACAACACTTTGCCTAACAAGTTGATATCCATTACTGAATCAGCAAGCAGTAGCTAGCTAGGGTTTTGCTTACAGCGGAGACAGCTTTCACATTAGGATTCTCTTCCTTGTAAACCTTCCTGAACTCTTCTCTGCAATTTTTTCACATAAGCAATATCATTCCAATCCTTCATTCATTACATGTAAACCCAGCAGCTAATGAAGAAATCATAGAAAACTCACAGAAATACAAAGAAGGCACTGGCAGGCCGCTTTGGCTTGTTGGGATCCTTGGCTGAAGCCTGTTTCTCAAAGTTATTAACACTCCCAGTCCTTCTCTTGCTACTACTACTGCTATTCCTACTCTCTGAAACCTTCCCCACTGCCTTCCTCTTCCCAGCAGACTTCCTGGGGATACATAAAGGAAGCAACTTTAGCCTAACATTCATCTAAGGAAACATGGTTGCTATCCCACTAAGAGGTGGACAAGATTTAATCCACGATATCTACTGGGATAAAAAAAAAAAAAAACAGTCCTGAACCTGATGTTGAAGCCTTTTAAAACCGAAATTTCTAACCTTGATAACCCATATACAGTAATCAATCAATTAAAATCTTGGAATTGATGTTCAACTAGTGAAAAGGATCATGGATTCATGGTGTGCTTCTGATGTTAATCAGTTCGTGATGATTACCTGTCCTCCACAATTGCTTCGTTCTTGTCCTTGCTTCCCCTGCCCTTCGAAACTTTCATAGCTTAGTTCCTCCTTCAAAGTTGAAACTACCACAGCAGATTAACCTGAAAAAAGAAGCAGCCCTTTTGAGTTTTGATTCAATTATTTCAGAGAGACAGAGAGTTGGAATAAAAGGCGTGACTGTTGCATTGGATAGAAACAGGACAATTTCCTGCAACTAATAACAAGTCTCACCCCTCAAACTACACACAAAAGAAACAAGGGTGAGAAACTAATTACAACCCCATTTTCATGCTCGAACAAAACAAGGTAGAATTCAACCAGACAAAATCCAACTTTCCTGTCTTGCCTCTATAAGGGAAGAAAGTAAACGCAAGAACGAGAGACAAGGGCGAGTACCTTAAACCGGAGAAGAGAGAGAAAAGAAAATGGATCCAGAGACTTTGCTGCTTAGCTTAACAGAGCCGCAGAAGGAGAGAAGAGCTGCCCAGAAAGCAAGAATTCGATAGTAAAGAAAGCAAAGCAGAGAGATTGGGAAGAAAGGTGGAAGGAAGGAAGGAATAAGACAGGGCGAGAGAGGGAGAAGGAATGGTACCAAACCAGAAGCCAGATATTTGTGATGGGTCCCGCAGTGAGAACCCAAAAGACGTGGCAATCGGTGGAGGCAGCTTTCAGGAAGTTGGACGGGGAAATGCTGTGTGAGGGAATTGATGGAGTTACCAGGCAGAGGATCTTACTCTGCCTCACTGCCTTCCTTCTGATTGGTTCCATTGTTGCTTCTAAGTTCTGAGTTAGTTTTCCTTGTTCATTTTCTAAGATAGAGGTCCTCCGTCAAGAATAAGAGAATTTGGATTCAATTTGTAGGGGTGAAGAACATGTTGTACAAGGTGTCATTCAATTGTGAAAAGCTAAGCTCAGAGAAGGGCAAGCGGATGGGTTTACATTGAGCGCAAAGAAATCCACAATGTAGAAAGATTGTAAAAGATGTAATATAGTACTTAGTAAATGTAATCACATTTTGAATAGGAGTTTTTGTTTCAACTTCAGTTGATGGTGAACAAAAAAAGAGTATGAGTCTTTATCAGTTACATATCTATAAATTGGAGCACTTCTACTATGCTATATATAGCATTGGTGCTTTATTGTACAATTTAAAATTGTACCATAACATTAAATTTATAAGTTTAGGTTGTACCATAAAGAAATTTGTATCATTATGTTATGGTACAACTTTACAACTTAAAGTACAAGTTCAATTTGTACCATAAAAGAATTTGTGCAATAAGTATAGGTACAATCTGAAGTTGTACCATAACGTAAATGTACAATTTTAAGTTGTACCATAAAGGCAAAAACCTATAGCACCAATACTATATAGCATTGTAAAATTTCTCCTATAAATGTTGATTACCAAAAGTTTATAGAGCGTCATCTATAAAATATATACTAAAGATATATCGCATTAAGTCTTCGATAGTGGATCGCTCGTTTGTGGACAAGACTCGTACAAGAAGATAACTGAATAATCTCATAGGACGCTTGCAGACTAGCAAGAAAGGGGCAGACTGAAGCTATCTTTAATAATTTTTTTAGGATTATCCTTAAAAAAAGCTCTCAGTATAGTCTGGGTCGGTTCAAATATATTACACACATATATGAAACTAATGAAGTCGTTCTCTAATAGAAGCCGACCACTCTTTTTGGTCACTTGTCCACACTAAAAATCCTATCACGTAACTATAAGGAAGTGATTAAGTACCATACGTGAACCTCTTCTAACAACTCGAGTTATTAAAATTAGTTGGTATAAGAGTTGGATTTTCATTGACGTCACATGTTCAAACCTTACAACCCCTAATATTAACTGTTGTATTAAAACACATTGTATAAGATAACCGACTTTTATTAACTTCTCTCAACAATTCGAATTATTGATACTCATTGTTTTAGAAAGTAACAAGAAGGTAGAGTGATGATGGAGGAAGGAAAAGAGTAGACAAAGTCTAATAGGAAGATGCTCTTGCCAGCCATGGCCCATGTATACAAGCTGAACAACAGTCACCAAACAAGAACAAACCCATTTAGAAAGAAGCCCACTAGGTGAGAAAAGAAATGTATCCTTAAATTCTCTCAGGCACTCAGCAAAAAAACAGAGATGAGAGACCCACTGAACAATAATAATAATCATCACCAAAAGAAAGGCCATCAACCATCCAAGTCTCACCCAATAGCAGATAAGGGCAAAAGATAAGGTCCATGCCATTCATCTTCACAAAATCACTCACTCCCCCAATAAAAAAAAAACCTTTTCTCATTTTATTTCAAAAGAACCACACAGATCCATCCATTCTGGTTTATAAGGCCACGCTTTTCAGTTCTACAAATCCCCAACTTTCCTCATTTTACCCACCGTGCAGCCAACACAAACAACCATGGCCACCACCGCGGCAGCCACCGCCACCGTCGCCGCCTCCCGATTCACCGCCGGGGCCCAAACCCGGAGGCCCAACTTCGTCCAGGCCCGGTTCGGATTCAGCTTCGGGAAGAAGAAGGGGGCCCCACAGCCCAAGAAGAAGCCCGCAGTCCCGGCAGGGGACAGGCTGGTCTGGTTCCCGCGGGCGAACCCGCCGGAGTGGCTCGACGGGACCATGGTGGGCGACCGCGGGTTCGACCCGCTGGGCCTGGCCAAGCCGGCCGAGTACCTGCAGTTCGACTTCGACTCGCTGGACCAGAACCTGGCCAAGAACCTGGCCGGGGACATTATAGGAGTGAGGACGGAGGCCACGGATGTGAAGCCGACGCCGTTTCAGCCGTACGACGAGGTTTTCGGGATCCAGCGGTTTAGGGAGTGCGAGCTCATCCACGGGAGGTGGGCCATGCTTGGCACGCTGGGGGCCATCGCCGTCGAGGCCCTCACCGGCGTCTCCTGGCAAGATGCCGGCAAGGTACGCCAATTAAACCCACTAATCAATTAGCTTCCGTGTGGGCTAAATTCTAGTTAGGAAAGAGATTTGCATGTTAGGGTTTTTGTTAAAACGGGCTTAGTAAACTGTAATTAATGATATCATTATTGACAAAATGTTGATTTTAATCGAGTTAGCATATTAATTACATGCGGCTGCGTAGGTTATACGTAGAAAGTACGACGTACTCATGTAGATCCATGCTAATCGGGGTAGTGGCATGGACAAATTAGTGATTTAACTTTTTGTGGAGAGTAAGCAGCTGACACGTCATTTTCTTCCAATCGGGGTATACGTGTTCACTTGCCTATCCAACCAAATATTGTGGCATCCACCGACATTAATTTAAGGTTTAATCAGTGAAATGTGAATGAGGGGCTGAATTGAATCGTGGTATTTGAGTTAGGAGAGTTAAGACCTTATTGATTTTTTTTTTTAATTTATTAGGATTTTTATATGTAATTTTATCTATATTTTAAATTTAAGGGAGGTTATGTTATACCTTCTCCTGGTTTCACCCAACTTCTCCATTACTTAACCTGAATTTATATCAATAGATTATTTTGATTAGAAATTTTAAAACCCTATGCTCCCCAAAATCGATAACTATTTGAACAATTTGGACATGGCTTGTAAGTTGATAGTCAATCTAGACGGTCAACGACTTCGATTGTTAATGAATCACCACATATTAGAAATAATATAATTTAGTCATAAAAGATAATAAAAATTCCGACCATTTTTTTTATCATTATTATCAATATTTGATAAATTTTACGGTACAAGTTAGATCCGACCGAAATTATGAACTATAGGCGATTTTAGTAATAGAAAACAGTTAAACCAATATTTTTTAGTACAATATATCTTATTATTGACTTTTTGAGTACATGATTTATTATATTTTTATATCAAATTAAGCATTTCTTTGGCATGGGTGCATATATATATATATATATTCGGGTGATTTTGGGTGGGCAGGTGGAGCTGTTGGAAGGTGCGTCGTACCTGGGGCAGCCGCTGCCGTTCTCGCTGACGACGCTGATCTGGATCGAGGCGCTGGTCATCGGATACATCGAGTTCCAGCGGAACGCCGAGCTCGACCCGGAGAAGCGGCTCTACCCGGGCGGGTACTTCGACCCGCTGGGCCTGGCGTCCGACCCGGAGAAGAAGGAGAGCCTCCAGCTGGCCGAGATCAAGCACTCCAGGCTCGCCATGGTGGCGTTCCTCATCTTCGGTCTCCAGGCTGCTTACACCGGCAAAGGCCCAATCAGCTTCGTCGCCACCTTCGGCCAGTGATCTCCGGCCAGCCAATATTAATGTTACCGTTTGCACGCAGTAAAAAAAAGACAAAAGCTAGTTGAGTTAATTATATAAATAAAAAAAAAGAATGTAAACCGAAATTTTAAAAGTACTACTACTGCCTGTGGACAGTGAGATACAGTAATTAAATTAACTACTGCATATGATTAAGTTCTCGTGCGTTTACTGATTTAATTTACTGCGGAACGAAGAGATATGGTAAGAAATGGTGGTGAAAGTTGCGTATGTGACGTGGGAATATTCACTTTTTATTCGTTCTTCTTAGCTGCTGGTGGAATGGAAATTGGTTTGGTTGCAGTCGTATGACATTTGAGATGGAGCAATTACAAAGAAAGACATGTCGTCATGTTCACAACATAATATATTTAATACGGTTAAGATTTAAAGCTGACCTCCTTATCTTATATGAATCATGATGAATCTAATTCCGAACTCCCCAATTACGACTTATGGACGGGCCAATTTTCTACTTAGAAGGGAGAAATTGGGGTTACTATCCATTTTTGTTGTGAAAAATAACGTTATATCTCCTCTATGTAAGCCAAGAGCTTAGTTGCTTGAAATTTTTATACAAGGGTTCATTTGTTAACTTTCAATAATACATGTACTTGTTTAGTTATCAACCCTAACATCAAAGATTGCTTTCAACAACAGAGAAGAAATTAAAGCCTCCATGGATGGTAGGGGTGGGCATCCGGTTCGGTAAACCCGAACCGAGCCGAACCGAACCGAGCATGAACCGAACCGAAACCGAACTATTACTATTCGGATCGGAATTCGGAACCAGAAAGTGGGTATTTCGGAAACCAGGGTGGTCATACCGAACCCGAAATTCCGAAACCCGAACCGAGAATCCGAAATATATGCCCAGCCCATTTCCCACAGCCTGGCCCATTCCCTAAGAGGCCCAGTCTTCTCCCCAAGCCCACTTCCCAGTTCCCCCACAACACATATCCCTATCCCAGCAACCCTAATACCCTATCCCAGCAGCCAGAAAAAGGAGGAGGAGAATCGCCGCCAAGGCGGCAACAGCCCACCCGACTCTGATCCTCACCCGTCACCACCATTGGCCATCCACTTCCGATTGCTTCCTCGCCGCCAGCCAGCCTCCGACCACCCACTCTCTCTCACTGCTTCCAGGCGGCTGCAACTATCACTCCGGCCATCTATTGTCGCTCGGAGCTTTACCGGAATCAGATCCAGTGGCGGCCTGAACAGTGGCGGGACCATCACCGACGTGAGCATCCCGCCTCTATACTGCCGCTACATCGAGCTCTGCGTTGACTGATTTGAAGGCCGACAGCCACAACCCACATGCAAGCATCGAGGGGTGAGGATTGGAACGGTCGCGATTGGAGAGGGAGACCCGGCGAGTGGAACGGTCGCGACGGTGATAGTTGATAGCAAGCTCAGCGGCGACGGGGGTAGTTCAGCAGAGGAAGTTGGGCGAACGGTCTCTGTATTTATGTTGGGTTTATTGGAGAAGATACCACTCAGCGGCGAGCTCAGCGGCGGAGGAAGTTGGGCGACGGCGGTGGTAGATAATTGTGGACAGAGAGTCAATTTTTTTTGGAGAGAGGAAAAGCGGATGGGGGTGGGTGAGAGAGAGGGGAATGGGAAAATGAGAGTAAGAGAGAGAGAGATGGGGTATGTCCAGCACTACCAGGAAAAAGAGAGGGAGATAAAAGGAGAAGTCTCATAATTCCGGTTTTGACAGAAAATCCGAACCGAACCGAGTTATATTTCGGTTCGGGCAAACCGAACCGAAATATAGCTCGGTTCGAATTCGGTTGGAGTATTGACACTTTCGGAAAATCGGCATATACTAATTCGGTTCGGTTTGAACCGAACCGACCGAACGCCCACCCCTAATGGATGGGGAATACACGTCTTTGTCAAGTTCCACTTTTGCAGTGAGGGGCAACAAATTACAGTTGTGATTGTGAAGGAGTCCTGCCACCCTGTACATTTACCCACCCTTCGGCTTCATCGCTTTGTAAGTTTGTGAATTTCTTTCGATGGGTACGGGACTATTAGGTCATCGTTTCTCACTTGTAATCCATGCACCACCATCGCCAATAATACCAGACTTAATTAACAATTGTACCAAGTTTTGCTCTACAAGAGAAAGCGGTACGCAATCTGCCTTTGGCTAGTATTTTTTTTTTCCCCTTCAAAAGAAAACAACCCTTCTGCTCCGTTCCCACCCCAACTTGCCATTCCGTGTTTCTTTCTTTCCTTCTCTCTCTCTTCCCCTCTGCCGCTGCCTGTTGGTTATTACCCCAAGTGGTTTCTTTCCTCTCATATGAAAGTTTGGCATTTTCTTCGATTGACACGAATTGTTGGTGGACAAAGACGATCTAGTTGCTTGGTTCGGAGCTGATGGGGCGGCTTTTTGTGGTGAACCTTGAAGGGAAGATCTATAGTTGCAAGCACTGCAGAACCCATCTTGCTCTTTGTGAAGATATTGTGTCAAAGGTAGCCCCTTTTTCATTCGATGGAGAAGTGATCTTGTCTCTGTGCCATGATCTCTTGGAATTCTCATCTGGGTTTTTGTTTGATTAAGTAGGTATTTTGTTCCGTCGGAATAATTTTATGGTGTGAAATTGGCTGTAGATGAAGAAGTTGTTGATGATTGAATTCGAGCACTTTCGGAGTAGGACTGTTAGTTTTCAACCACATTTATGATTAGGTAGACTGACTAGATAGGCTTGGGGATTGCTAAAGACTTCAGTGAATTGATCTGCCATATAGTGCAGCAGAATGCACTCAATTTGGGTGAAAAATATTGTTCCTTGATCTTCACTAGTAAATGGGTTCACAGAATAATTTCTGTTGATTGAAGTTCACTGTACAGAATGACAAGGTAGGTGAATCAGAGCTTTTGCTGGTGTAGGTTATTGCTTTTCTTCCGAGCATTACCTGATTGTTCTGATGCAGAAACTTATAACTGTATCGCGGTTATTTGTTCATTTTCTGCCAAAGTTAGACCCTTGGTGCTTTGGGTTCATGGTGGAAATTGCAATGGAATCAGTCAGTGGTTTTGGGAGTAGTTTATACTTCTGATGAGTTCATTACTACAATGCCACAGCTTAAGTGCAACATTGTAAGCGATAGATTATCTCATCTCCGTATTTGATAGCTGTAGAGCTTCGGTCGTTCATTGTCTGATCGGATAGTAGCCTGGCATCTGATGAACCATTAATTGGATACTGCAATTGCATACCAATGTGCTGCATAAACCTTGGAACATTTGTTCTTCAACCATTTGGTTTTAGATTTTCCTTTTGATATGGTACCGTATTGTGCGTGTTTTTCACCTCTCGTTGAGGTTGAGGGTATTGGAAGTATGGATGTGCACAATTTGAAATTATCAGTTCTGCATTTGATGTGTTTAAGGTCCCCACGAGTATTCTTTGTATGTTATTTGGAAGTGAGGTTCTGACTACTTGTCATGCCTGTGTGTCTTTTCAGTCTTTCCACTCCAGGCATGGGAAAGCTTATCTCTTCAGTAAGGTGTAAGTTTTCCTTGATTTTTAAGTATTGATCCATTGTGGGCATGTGGTTGCAGTTATGAATACATGCCAATGCCCCAATCTGTTATTGTCGTTTATGGTTTGGCCAGTAATAAATGAACAAGAGTTGATGTGGATTAACAAACGTTTTTCAATTTATCTAAGCCTTCAGCCAGTGCTTGCATTGTGTGGCATGTGAGTAAACACATGATGCAACGCATAAGAGAGGTGGATTTAGTCTATCTTACTATTGTTTAGAGGGCCAAGTAGTGTTAGAGATATGTTTGCACAAATGTTATGAGGACTTCAGAACTTCAAGTTTATCCGTTGATCCCAGAAGAAGAATTTTATTCTCCTTACGGATCAGTCTTTTCAGCTATGTCCTACATGTGCTGCTGTGATCTGTATAATTAGGAATGCATTTGCTGGCAAAGGATGCCATGGGTTTCTTTTCACTTGGTAGTAGACTTTTACATGTTGCAGAGTGAATGTCACTATGGGAGAGAAAGAGGAGAGAATGATGATGACCGGGAGGCATACTGTTGTTGACATCTTCTGTGTTGGGTGTGGATCAATTGTGGGTTGGAAATATGTAAGATTTTGGCTGAGCCTGTAAAAAAGAGCTTCAGTGGCAAGAGAATTTCATGGATAGGGAATGATAAATATATATGGTATGTTTTCTTTCAGGAGACCGCCCACGAAAAGGCACAGAAGTACAAGGAAGGAAAATCTGTCCTCGAGCGGTCAGTAGATAGTTAGCTGAAACATTTGCAGAAAGATTGAGTTTAGATGTTTCACCATAGTCTGAATTCCAGATTGTTAGATGAATTAAGGTTACAAAGTTTTGGTTGTTGAGCAGGTTTAAGGTGTCTGGCCCTGATGGAAGCAGTTACTGGGCCAATCATGAAGTTTCGCAGCATGTCGGCGGGAGTGATGCTGATGATGTTTGATAGTATGCTGTCTTAACCATCTGTTACCAATTGTACATTCCTATCTCCCTCCTAATTTCCTCATTGTAACTCCTGCAAGAATTAAACCAACCTGCACATTCAAACAACTCTGGGGAACTTGATGTCAGATAGCTTGGGTGCAAGAAAACATTGGATTGTTGATTCATGATGTATTATTAGTTCTTGTCCTTTCCTCATTTAAATGTGAATATTATGATATTTCATTTCTGAATCCCTGAAACCGTCTTATCTTGTATTTGTGTTGATGATCATGTTCATGTACAGGTTTAGCCATGTCATTTACACAATGCAGCACATGCACAGCTAATAGCAGCAGTGTCATGCTACAAGGCAATTCAAAAAACAATTGAATGTTGGACTAATAAACTATTAAAATACTTTTTAATATATGGGGTGATGTAAAGTTACTTAAAATTTCAAATGTAAAACAAAAAATGTTAGAGTGGATATTATTTAAACTAATTAATATTATTTTCTAAACTAATTTAGTTATAACTAATATAAAATGAAAGAAACTACATTTTCTAGAAAAAATTGATAAGTATAATATTCACAAAAACTCGATAACTAATCCTCTACTCTTATGTTACAGAAAATCATTTTTATCTTTTTCAAATGCTCGATTCAAAGAGATATTTGACCTTATTTTAACTTTAGAAATGAAAATATTAAAAAAATAAAAAATTCCAGCGAAATATTAACAATATTTATTTAACAAAAGTCTTCAACCAAACCATTCCAAATTGAGCCCACTTCCGTTTCCGGCGTGATGGTTGCGTCGTTAATAAATAGTGAATATATAAAGCCCACTTGGGTTACGGCCCAGTTAAATAATTGACTAAGAAACAAAAAGAGGACCCAAAACGTAAACATTAACAATTTGCAATAGTACCATCACTGAATCAAAAAGTTTTAAATTTAATCCCCCTTTCAGCATCATTCACTTGTTCTCCGAGTAAAATGTGGCCGTCAAGTGGGATTTGACGTCACGTAAGAAAACCAAAAGAGGGACCTACTTGCAAATACCGAATATTTCAAAATGGGAAACGAAAATAGATGAAGTGATGAACTAAGAAATTTCCAATCCGTAGGCACAGCCCACAGGAAAGAAATAATTGATGTAACGCCTTCTCTCTCGTCTCGTCGCTTCTCCCTCAAGATTTCCGTTCGTGCAATCCCTCAACCTCGAACTGTTCTTCAATTCCCTCAAATCCGGTCGGTAGACGCGAACCTACGGTGAGAAAGCAAAGCGATTCGCCGCCGTCTCGGTAATTCTTGCCGTTGTAGCTGGTGAAGAGTTGTTGATGATTGGCGAATCGTGACAGAGAGAAATGGCAGGGAAGATGAGGAGAAGCGAGGCGGGAAGTAGCAGTGGTAGCAGCAGCAGCAGCGGCAGCGGCAGCAGCCGGGGAGAGACGGTGGTCGTTGATTGTGGCCGGTGTAAAAGCTCTTGCGGTTACTGCAAATCTCCCGGTCGCACCAGCATTAGCCATGGTCCGTATTTTCTAGTTCTTCGCGATTCATCGTTGGGAATTTTCGTTGATCTTGGAAATTGGTCACCTTTGTTAGGCTAGCTCTTGTTGGTGGAGTCGTAGAATTTATTGATTCGTGATCCTTGTGAGAGCATGGAATTGAGAACTAGAGATCATTATGGTCTAGGCTGTTCAATTTCAATTGGGGTGCTAGTGGTGACTGTCTTATTTTATAAAGATGGAGGAAAGGTGGGTTTGGAATTTAGTTTGTTACCACCTAATGGATTTGGTTGAATTGGATTGGATTTTGAGCATTGCAATCCTAGAGCGTGCGATTGTTGTTTCCATGTCGGTCTATGATTGAATAATATGAATATAAGTAAGCTTTCGATGTTTAATTTAGGCTCATTTCGGTTGCTTTTCCAGGTCTATGGGCACACAGCATTACAGTTGATGATTATCAAGGTTCGTTCGGTTTATGTTTTTATAATTTATATACGTTGCTATGTTCACTTGATTTGGATATCTGGAACAGTGTAGTATAATGCCTCATGTCTACCAACAAGGAAATTTTGATCGGATTTTCTGTCTGATCAGTAGTAAAATGAGTGGTTATGAGAAGAACATTTGAACGATTGCAGTGCCACATATGCAAAACCATTGGATTTTGAGTGATATCAAACTGCTTTAAGATGAGCAGAAATCGTCGTGTTTTGTCGAACCAGTGGATCTCCTTTCATGCATCCTGGAACGAAATTCTTGCTGTCTAGTTGATCGTTGTGTTGTGACACTGTTTTAAAGCATGGAATTTTTTCTCAATACTTTTTTGTAGGCTTGCTTTCTTCTAATACAATCCTTCATTGCTAGATCTTCTTGACCAGGGCTGGAGAAGATCCGGATGTTTCCTGTACAAACCTGAGATGGAAAGAACATGCTGCCCATCATATACTATCCGTTTGAGGGCAAGTGACTTTGTTCCTTCAAAAGAGCAACAACGTGTCTCTAGAAGAGTGCAAAGGTATTTTCTCTTTTCAAACAAGTTATTTAAGAATGCATGTCCCTCTGGTCTCATTTTCTTTCGATTGGTAGGTCTTTGAGATCTTTGGCTTGTTGATGAAACAAGCTACTAACAATGGGATGTTCCACAGACACAGAGAATATTTTCTTGGTGGACTTGTTTATGAATCTTTGAGGAATTTGAATCCATGTGTTGTTTGCATAATCTTGTGATATCTGCTCCTGTTAAATGTACTTTGTATCTGACTCCTCGGTGCCCAATTGACTGCTTGTAATGCGTGTGCCTAGGTTCTTAGATGGAATGCTGGATGTGAAAAACCCAGTAGAGGCAACAGATGATCCAACTATCTCTATCAATACATGCACATGTGCCTGTCATGAAGCGTCAAGCAGTGGAATGAAGGATTCACTCTCTGATCAAAGTGAGGAGAAAAGAAGTTCAGAGCAGATTGTCAGCTATTTGTCGGAGCAACTTGACAAGGCAGTGAATAAGTGCACTGAACATGGAGGACTTCCTTCTGGCATCAAACTACCTAAAGCTTCTGTCAAAAAGGTATCCCAGGGGAAAAGGAAACTACTTGTAGAAGGGGGGAAAGATCTACTGTACTCGAGCAACATTGCATTCCAGATAGCAGCGACTCTCAATCGAGCTAAGTCAGCTAATAAGGAACCAAGTCCTAATCTTGAAAATAATGCCATAACTGCCAAGGCAATTGCAGAAACGCTGGTTGCATCTGTTGATCAGCTTGCTCAAAGCAGCAGCAGTCTGGCAGTCAGGGCTTGCAATGGCCATATAAATTTTTATGGTGCTGCAACACAATCTCCTACTGAGAGCAGTGAAACTCTCAGTGGGCCTGAAGAATCTGCAAGAGGGTGTAAAAGAAAAAGTTGCTGTTCAAGGAAGAATAGTGAACATTTGCTTGGTAAAAGAAGGAGGCTTGAGGTTCGGTTGAAAAGATCTAGTTTTGATCCTGAAGAGTTTGATTTGTATAGACGGTATCAAATAAACGTGCATAATGATGCACCTGATCATGTCACAGAAAGCTCATACAGGAGGTTTCTCGTCGACTCTCCTCTAGTATTTGTTCCACCGTCGGGTGACAGCCTCGTTCCTCCTTGTGGGTTTGGTTCTTTCCATCAGCAATATGTAATCGATGGTCACCTAATTGCTGTGGGAGTGATAGACATCTTGCCAAAATGTTTGTCAAGTAAATATTTGTTCTGGGATCCGGACTATGCCTTCCTGTCTGTAGGCAAGTATTCTGCCTTGCAAGAAATCAATTGGGTGAAAGAGAATCAAGTACATTGCCCTAGTCTTCAGCACTATTATCTCGGGTATTATATACACTCCTGCAGTAAGATGAGATACAAAGCTGCATATCGCCCGTCTGAATTGCTCTGTCCTCTTCGCTACCAGTAAGTTGCTTTGTAACACAAATTCTTGGGTTTGACTTTTTTGTCCGTGTCTTCATCCTTGCAAGTTCCTTTCTCACATTCTGTTCTCTTCTACATTACTTTGTGGCTATATTCTGAGCATTCCTTTTCCTCATGAATCACCCTTTCGATTTGTTGGTCAAAATTGTAATGCAATAATGATGAGGTTTTTCCCCGTCACTTATTAAGGGCGTGTTTGGGTCTCTGTAAATTGATGTTATTTGGCTCAGTGCTTGTTTTTCATTGTACATGTTGTGATGTATTTACAAAAATATTGTTTGGTTTGTTTATTTGTCAGGAAATTGTTAAAAAAAAAGTGAAAACGAGACATGGTTCTGGGAATATCTTAGTTTAGGGTTTGTTCTTTTAGGCATCTATTTTGACTTTTGAGAGGTCTCCATTGTATCTACTGCTTTCCATTTATGCTCCATTTTTCACTATAGTTTGAAACGGACACTATTTCTTAGTGCGTTATAAATTTAGATACTGATGATGTGCTGATTTATTCTGTATGCAGATGGGTTCCAATTGATGTGGCAAGTCCTTTGCTTGACAAAAAGCCATATGTCGTTCTATCAGATTTTGCCCTCTTGCAGAACGGAGAGTCCTTGCTGCCTCATGTTCCCGAAAAAATAACGGATGAGCAGCAACATGACGATAATGTACATGGAGACTTGAATGATATCCTTGTAGACGACAACGAAGAAATGGTCGAACCCGAAACTGAGACCTCTGATGACGAGTCAGGTCCTGAAACCAGTGGGCATGGATCAGTTGAGATAGAGAATGGTGATGTTAGTGAGATTTTAATCGGATTGAAGGGTGCTCGTGTAAGGTACCAGGTAAGTCCCAGGCTTGTGTCATCCATTGATATCTCCGGAATATTGCTATTTGTGCGTATAGCTATTCTCTATATAAATATAAGTTGCAGAATGATGAATTGTAGAGTCACTCATAGCGACACATCATAAGTCGAGAAAGTGAATCATAGTTTGAAAGAAACCTAGGACGAAAGTTGAACTTAATTCCTCAACTTGAGGCATGTGCTCGTGCACACACACACAGACGTATATATTAATGTCATACAATTGAGATTTTGACACTAACCCTGCTAGTTACTTTCCTTTGAAGGATTTGCGAGCAGCTTTCGGAGTAAAAGAACAGAAGTACTTGGAATCCCAGCTGCACAGATACAAGAGGTCTGTGGGCGCAGAGCTGTCGAAGAGAATAGTATATTCACTTGGATGATGTCCCTACTGTCAAACTCCAGCGAGTCTCTCGCCCTCAAAAAACCGAGTTGCTGAAACAACCCCATGACTTGATCGTGCCTCTGGTTTTTCTTTCATGTGGGCAGTGTTGTTCCAGCAATGGCTGATAGCTTAGTTCCCCCCAGCCGCAAGGACCATGTGGTTGGGTAGATGACAAAGATGTCATATCGATCTGTTTGTCTTCTGCTGCCTTCTTGGGGATGTTGCACTTTCCGGTTTCAAAATCACAGGGACCCGAATCTTCTCCTTTCTTCTCCCATTGCAGTTTTCTTGCTCTGCATCTTGTGCACTAAGATGAACATCAGAACATGTTTTCAATAAATAGAGAAGAAGAACTCACATCTCTGTGTGGTTTTCTGAGTCCAGCTCGTTTCAGCATGAAATTTGGCTTCCTACATTCTCTGTGTTTATGTTGCTCGTGCAGAATGTCGTCACACGGTTCTAGAATCAAATAGAGATATGATCAAACCAAAAAACAAACACATTTAGTTGGGATGATTTTCTCTTTCATATATCAATTTGCATTTTAGTGTTTTACTCTGCCACCTTCTGGCAATGTGGTTGAGCAGAGATGGGAGACATTTGGACTGTGGTCGGACTCTTGGGTCAAAATGGTCGGCGCCGGTCTTTAATCGGATATTAAATAATAATAATAACTGTTTGGGTCCAAACATCTGACAGAAACTGCACAATGGGAGACTGCAGAACTGAGAAGGTGGTGCATTATCTGTTAACTAATAGTCTTTTTCTCAACTAAACCGGCTTAGAAAATTATAATTTGCGAATAATTAGTAGTTGATCATTAACTTTGGAGTTTAATTGTTGAAAAAGAAAAACGAGCGGCCCTCCCTCCCTCTGCTAATACCATTCACCGTCAGTGGAAAAAAGGAAGGCAGACTAAATTTAATACAATAGAACAAGCTGGTGAAATAGTAGGGTTCAAGTGAGATGAACAGATCAGGGAACAGAGCAAGTAAACAACCACGAACCATCCATGACAGCAATAGAAAAATGAATTCAGTCGGCCATTGGCTTGGCTGACTGACCCTGCCGTCTTGCCTTTCTTCCACAAAGATAATTGAAAGCTCCCCCCATTCGACTTTTCTTTATAAAATTTTGGTTTTACCTCTTCCCTAAAATATAAATGTAGGACACATGTATGAATGAGTACACGATCAAAGACCGAACACGGTGAGTAGTAGAATCCTCCATAAAGCGATGATCGGTGAACAAAATATGAATCCAGGATCGTAATGTGAATTTTGTTAATATGATGAACGGGTTCTTACCTTTTATCTTTTACGGTTACTAGCTCTTTGTTTGTCTGATATGTAAATATTTACGGATAACATTGAAAAGTTTTGCGAAGTTTATGTGGTTGATGATAGTGATTTGCCATCTAAATTGTTTATGACTCATGGCTATTGTATTGTTGTATATTTTTAGGTGAAATCATTTGTGTCTACGATGTTATATTGTGTAATGTTTGATTTCCATATTTGTGGATGATATGAGTATTCCTTATGAAACAAGCAAATTACCATTGTAGCGTATGTATCACAATTATGTTTACATGCCATGATTACGAGTTAGTTGAAATAGAAATATCAATATGGTATGTAGATCACCAACACGTACTTAAACCAAATACTTATGATATTTTGGACTCGCTTACTTTGTTAGATATGATTAGAAGCTTACACAATTCTTTCCTTTTTTTGGGGTGAACTAGCAAAATGCCAAACCACTCATGCTGTTGTAATTAGTAGTGGAAACTAGATTTCGAGTTTCCCCGTTGAGTTTTGCAATCCTAAGTAATGTATGCATGAAGATTATACTGTAATGTATCGTTTGGTTTTGGTGATAATTAAATAGATGCATTGTTATCAATGCATGTATAATAATATACATGTATATAAGAAAATTGATGTATTGTAGTTTACATCTTTTCGTTGTTATGGTAGTTATTCTAGTATTTAAATAAGATATATTGCTCTCTGGGTTAAATGTCACTTTTATCCTTTATTTTATATATAAAAAAGCAAAACACATCAAAAGGTAGAGACATAGTTGGAAGAAGAAAACACTTCAACAATCTCACAAAAAACTTGAGATATTACTCACTCATTTTAAGTGATAGTTTCCATCACATCAAGCAAGCAATGCATGTAAAGTTTGTGCAGAAAATTAAAAAAAAACAATGTATTGTGGACAATGCATGCATTGTAACTATCCCAACCAAACAATCACCAAAACCAAACGACCCCTAAGAGTGTTTTTTTCTTCGACAATACATTGTTTATGAAATACAAAAAAAAATTCATGTATTTTTAATCTATTTGAAAATATATATAAAAAATGTTACAAAATACCGCAACGAGATCACAAAGTTGCCCGATTTCGAAGCTTTGATGACGTAGTCGGCCAGTGACGAACGAGGTACCAATAGACTGGTCGTAAGTAGGGATGGCAATGGGTCGGATTGGGTCGGGTTTTGCCAAACCCAAACCCATGGGTTTATCTTTGAAAAAAACCCGGGGTAAAACCCACTGGGTTTGAAAAACTCAAACCCAACCCAACCCGTTGGGTATCCGCGGGTTCATGGGTACCCACGGGTTTTGTCGTAAAAAATTTACAATTACAAGTTCTTATCAAAATTAAAGTCAAATATCAATCTCTCAATACAAATTATCCATATATAAAACATCATTCTAGAAAATTCAAGCAAATCACAAATTAACTATACAAATTATTCAACACCAATCTAGAAACCTCAAGAAAATTGAAGCAAATCACAAATTATCCATAACTAACATGTTTAATTGAAAGCTTCTTTCTTTCAATTAAGTTTCTTTACTCTCCACTCCATAACATCAACTTCATTCTACACAATTAAAAAGAAAAAATTAGACATGTCTCCACAAATATAAATAAGATTAGTTGTTTAGATTATTAAATATACAGAAAAAATTAATTATATGGATGAGCGGGTACCCACGGGCCGGGTTTACCTAAACCCAAACCCAACCCAACCCGGTAAATAGTGAACGGGTTTAAACCCAAACCTGGCCCAAAACCCATCAACACGAATTTTACCCGCGTTGACCGGGTTAGGTCGGGTGGGTACCCGTGGGTTCGGGTTTTGTTGCCATCCCTAGTCGTAAGATGAGTTCCAAAAGGAAATTTTGTTGCCATCCCATAGTATATGAATTATCAATAGATGTTAGATGTTTTAAATTAAATAAAAAAAAATGATATATTTCAAATACATGTATTGTCAAAGTCCGTTGTCAAAGAGGAGCAAGCTAGCAAAATCCTTGGCGATGAGTTGCGAATTTGCGAAAGGTAGAAAATGAAGTATTCTATTCTATCAGAGAGGAAAGAAAGAGAAGTCCCACCACGTCCACATGGCCCATTGCACCTTTCGTCTCCTCATCCCTTCGCTCCTCCTTCAACAAAAACTGGAAAACCCCAACTCTCTCTCTCTCTCTCTCTCTCTCTCTCTCTCTCTCTCTCCCCCCATTCTCAAATCTCAATCAATCTCGTCTTCTTCAGGCACTTCGTCCCTCCCCGTAATTACACTACTCTGCCACTCCCCCTTCCTGTTTCCCCCCTCTCTCTCTTCACTCTTCTTCAGGCACTGTGATCCCCTCCCTCCCTCTCCTAACGCCACATTCTCTTCAAGCGCCCATTGTTGCCTTCTTCTCTCTCTCTGAGCTGGGGCGACGGAGTTATGAAGCAGCGGTTGGAGCTGGATTTTAGATCTAATTCGTCACTGGTTTCCGCTGCGAGTGGAAGCTGTTTAGCTATTTTTTAAAAGTGAAGGAAAGAGATAACAAAAAAAAATCCAATCATTGCAGTGGTGTGTGTTTGTTTGCTTCCTCTCTGCTTGGTTGTTGGAAGAAGAAAGAAGTGAATGAGAAGCGAAGTTAGGTTTTAGTTTTAGTTTTTTTTTTTTATTGTTGTTTCCTCGATCTGTCAGTTGGTAGCGGAGAAGTGAACAAAAAATGAATCGAAGTTTTAGGGCTCAGGACTCGCAGCAAATGCAACAGCTGCAAATGCAAGCGGCGGTGGTGAAGCAGAGGCAGCAATTGAGAGCTTCCATGATGAAGGAGAAGGAAGAGGAGCTCGCCTTGTTCTTGGAAATGAGGAAGCGGGAGAGAGAGCAGAACAGCAATCTTCTTCTGCTCAATGAGGCCGGCGATTTTGATGCGCCGTTAGGTTGGTTTTGTTTTGTTCCTGGTTTTGCCTTTTCCTCCTTCGTCCGCCGTGAAATTCATTCTGATTGGAATGAGTTTTTTTCTTATAGGTTCAAAGCCTGGGACGTCGCCGATATTCAACATCCCGTCGTCGACTCCGGCGAGGAAAACCGGTGGTGATGATTTTCTCAACTCGGACAACGATAAGAATGACTACGACTGGTGCGTGGGAAAGACACTATGGCGTTTTTCTTCCCTACTTTCCTTATGTTATTAATTATCATTAATATTGGTGATTATTTAGTCCACTTCCATAATTATTATACTACAATCCTCGTTTGTTTTGTTAGTATTTTGGCTTCGTCTTCTTTGGATGTGTGCGCCCCCATGATAAATGACATAGTACTAAGGTCAATTCGGTAGGAGAATATTAGTTAGGAAAGGAATAAGATTTTGTTCAGATTTGTTGAAAAGACGTGGTGGGTTGATAGGAGCCGTTGCCCTTTGCCATTGTGTTTGGTATATATGCAATCAAGGAAATCATTATCAGATAATCTTCATCTTTTTTTCCCCACCCATTCTTTTGATGCTTGAGGTTGAATTGTTTCGGTGGACTTTTGCTAATGGTAATTATTCTCTTGGGGTGTGATGGATGGCTCTCATAACAACATAATGCTGCCAAGTTTTTAGTTTTTGAATAATGGTGCAGAATCTAGATTCATGTTACAGAATCACCGTGCTTTGTGCTGATTCTTTTTGAATGGATATGCTACCTGCTTGATTATTGTGCTGATTTGAGGTATTTAGAGACATAGCTGATGATAGAGAAAATTGTGCTCTATTCTCATTTTAGTTGAAATGGTGTTCTGTTCTCAGGCTTCTAACGCCTCCTGGAACCCCTCTTTTCCCTTCCTTGGAGATGGAATCGCAAAAGACTGTTATGAGTCAGATTGGCACTCCAAAGGCTCGCCCTACTGCACTCAAGTCTAGGGTAAGATTATTTTCTGCTGTTTGAAGCTGAACAACTCGATTGGGGGCTTAATAACGTTAGCTTTACCTTTAAGTTTCTAGTGAAGACTTTGGTACTGGTTACTGCATTATTTCAACCTCCAAGGAAACAAATGGTTTGTGTTGATGATGCACTTAGTTTAGAGCACTTATTCTTGGTAAATTCTTAGACATGACCGGCGAAGCTGTGAGACTTATACGCAACCACTTGAAGCTCCTTCTGCTGATTAATGTAGATGCGGAATCATAATGGCGTTAGAAATTAGAATCCTCATCTGTTATCTCTGCTCCACTTTCTTGTCCTAACATTTAAGTTTTCTCCTGCTCAACAAGTTCGGGATATCAAGTCTTACAGACTCCTGTTCTAAAGAGTAAAGTCTCAAATCAATTTTTTTTTATTCTAGTCAACTCTTGTTGGAAGAAGGTAGTCCCTTCATTTTCTCTTCAGTTCCTCTTAGTCATGACATTGTGCATTCGGGATCTGGGTTTTCTTGATCCACACATAATTTCGAGTCACCCAGGCCTTTAGCATCTCAACTTGCCACTTTTGACAACAGTGCAACTCACAGTCTCATTGATAAAAAGATTCCAAGACCAACCAAAATCATTTCCCCCCTTCAAATTGTCATTTCAATTTAGATCAACCATTGCATGATGACTGATGCATATACTTGTAAATGTTGAAGATGTGAGATTTGAAAGATCAAGTTTCTTAACTGACATGGATGGATTCTGTTTTTTCTCTTTTTTCTTTTTCCCCTTCTGTTTGTAGTTAGCAAATAACCAGCCTGAGAGCACAGCTGGTGGCAACTTGCTATCCAGACAATCAGCTTCCTCCCCTGGGTTGAATTCTTCTACCATTGGGATCCGTAGGCCGTCGTCATCCAGTGGACCTGGATCAAGGCCTGGAACGCCGACCGGGCGCTCAACATTGACAACATCATCTAAACCTGCAAGATCTTCAACACCTACCTCCCGAGCAAGCTTGCCTTCGTCTAAGCCCGCTCTTAGGTCGAGCTCCGCTGTAGCTAAGCCAACTGGTCCTCCTCCAGCTAGATCAACAACAGCTTCAGCAACCAAGCCTACAGTTCCTGCGAGATCCTCTACACCAACAAGGTCGACACCGAGATCTTCAACACCAACAAGGTCGACAGCAAGATCTTCAACACCAACAGCAAGACCCTCTATTCCACCACCTCAACCCAGGCCAGCTTCAAGGCCGGCAACTCCAACTCGAAGACCATCAACCCCATCTAGTGCACCTCCAGGGAGTAGATCCTCCGCGCCACCACCACCAATCAAATCGTCATCTGCTTCAGTCGTTACCAAGTCAGTTCCTACATTATCCAGAAATCCAGTGCCGTCATCACGTGGAAGTTCCCCAGCACCCAAGTCCAGGCCATGGAAGCCTTCAGACATGCCTGGCTATTCACTAGACGCCCCGCCAAATTTAAGGACCTCAATATCAGATAGGCCCACTTCAGCTTCCAGGGGCAGACCTGGAGCACCAGCTTCTCGATCTTCCTCTGTGGAGCCAGTTGCCAATGGAAGAATAAGAAGGCAGTCGTGCTCGCCTTCACGAGGACGTGCCCCTAATGGCAACAGCGGGGGATCTGTTCCTGCAGGGAGTCGCTTGTATGCAAAAGCTAATGACAGTGTGAGCCCTGTCCTCATGGGGACCAAAATGGTTGAGAGGGTGATAAATATGCGGAAACTAGCTCCCCCTTCTAAACAAGATGACAACAGACACTCTCCACATGGTAACTTATCGGCCAAGTCTTCATCACCGGATAGCTCAGGTTTCGGAAGAACTCTGTCCAAGAAGTCTCTGGATATGGCCATCAGGCATATGGTATGTTTAACTTTGCACATCATCCATACATTGCTTTGGACTTTGTTGCTTCTTCTTGGTAAAGCAAAATCAGCAGTTACGTGGAACTTTCTGACATTTTGTCATTGCATTGGACAGGATATAAGGAGAACCATTCCAGGTAATCTGCGGCCATTGATGACTAACATTCCAGCATCATCAATGTACAGTGTTAGATCGTCAGGCCCTCCACGAAGTGGCAGAACTATCAGCGTTTTGGACTCACCTCTTGCAACAAGCAGTAATGCTAGTTCTGAGCTGAGTGTCAACAACGGTGGTCTCTCCTCCATGGAATTGGAGGATGATATTGGTGGGATCGAAAGACATGGCCGTTCTCCAATTCGAGGCAGGTGACGAATCCTTGTTCGTGGAGAGGAGCCTCCGAGCCTGGCCTGCCGTCTCTGAACCACCCCCACCCATCCTGTCTCATGTCTAGGTTCATAATGATATCATATATATTGTGTATTATTAGTCCGAGTCTTCTTTCTTGCATTCATATCTTGGTGTGGTTTGCAAGGAAGGGAAGAGAATCCTATTTCCCTGGTAGAAAAAAAGAAAAGAGATGCCTAACCGGAGTCTTAGACTCTGTATTTGATGTAAAGTAGATTAGGTTGAATGCTTCGATTTGGCAATCCAAAGTTTTCCTCACGGTGTATGTGTGTTGAACCAAAACATTGTAGGGCTTTTTTAGTTGTTCCTCTTCTCTTCCAAGTGTGCTGGTGTAATGTACCAAGTTACCATGTCAGGTTCTACCATTGATTTCTAGGGAAACATTTTCGATTCCCACCTCTGAAGGAAATCCAGAATAGTATCCTGCAGCCGTAAGGACTACGGCTTGGGTCGGTGTTGCTTCATCAATTGGCCGGTGGTCTAGAACCAAAGATTCGAAACTTCATTTAATTAAAGCAATCCAGCTTCTTAACTCCTGAGTGGCAGTTGCGGCTTTCATCAATGGAGAAAGCTGGAAAGGGACTGAAGCAGGAATCAGGTTTCATGAGAAACAACAAAGGAGAAGGGGCTTTATACGGCTATGGTCCAGCAATGGTGCAGAAAAAACACTGAGGTAACAGTTCCAAAATCACGATAAGGGATGGCACAGGCATGGGAATCTGGACCACAGACTCACATGGCCATGCTAGAGCCCTCTTTCTTCTCTGCTGCATCGTTAAATTGTAAGAGCTTGCTTGATTCCCCAAGTTCTTGGCTCTACTCATCGTATCCAGATTCCATGTTCCCTAGACAAAGCTTTCCAGACATATGGGACAACACGTAAGCTGATCAATGAATGACTTTGTGAACCATCATCATCCATCAATGAAGACCAGAACACAGACTTGGATTCGAGGACACAACGCCTTTTCCCGCCTAAATGTAATCAGATTTGCATATTCGGGACTGTCATTCGAAGATCTAGTGAAGCTCTCAAATTCCAAAATGATTCTCATGCTATACTCTTAATGCTGCGGGGAAAAGTAAACTTCGACTAGGCTCGAGAGAGGATGACATATATGTTTTAGTGATCAAGCAACGGCCACTGGCTCGGGGGCTTTTGGGGCTTCTGCTGCGGCAGCTGTAGAAGTAGAGGCTGCTGCTGAATCGCTAGCTTTAGGATCCTTTGCGGGTGGTGGAGGAGCGAGCTTCAGGTGAGGTGGTGTGTTGTGTTTCAGTTGAAGGAGTATGTGGCGGAGCCTAGAGAGCTCAGTTGGTTTCCCTGGTTTGGGACCTTGTACCACCATGATCGAAGGCTTCTGCTCCTGATCCTTCTTTGTTTTCTTCTTCTCGAGAGCAGGCACTTCGTTAGGGATGAGATCTGCTATCGACTTCCAGTATTCCTTATCTGCCTCAACATGAAACTTCTCTTCCTTGGTCACAAATAGCTGCAGAGGCCAAAGTATAAGAGGAAGCAGTCCGGAGATGTGATCAAGTTCCATCACACACACACACACACACACACACACACACACAGTAATAGCTCCCACATATATATAACATGCTTCCATTGAACACACTGTGATAACTGATAACTGAGGACGAGTACTCCGTTCCAAATCAGAGCTTAAAAAACAAACTTGTGGTAGTATTCACAAGAAGTTCAATCTAGAACGAACCCTCTATATGCGTTGGCACATTCGACATTGCTGAATCCTTAATAGATGCAGGTAAAGAGAGCAAACTACTTTGTAAACAGAGTGAGTAAACTTGAGAAGTACCCTCTCCAGCTGCTCCAGGGGAACAGCAAGATCATGGCAAGTTGGGGATAGTCAGAAAATCACTATCAGCTAGAGACAATCACGAAATTTTCTAGAAACCATCTGGCTAATCTTAACCACCCAAATCACAGATGCTAGCATTTAAGTTTTGGCGATCACTGGAGGGTTTTCATAATTTCAAGCCATTTGCCCAGTTAAGATGTTCAGCATGTTGAAGCTGGCATAGCTGAACAATCACAATATAGGACTTTTAACCATGGATTTCCATGTCCATAACGCACACTAAGGGCTGACAGGTGATGAATGGCATGAAGCTCCTATACAGAATGTAGAACAGATCCTACTCTAACATCTTAGTCGCCACATTGCAAAATAGCTAACCTGATAACTTGATTCTCTTTACTCCACCATCATTTCCCCCTAATGAAACTCCAATTTAAGGTTCAAACCCTACTGCAAGTGATGACCTAACATCCTGAGATTTGTTCTACCTTTTTACCTTTCCACTTTTCACCACACTTACTCATCTCTCATTAATAAAACCAAGATAACATACAAACGACATTCCAAGCATAGCAAGATCATGATAACAAAAATCAAACTTGAAAAGATCACCATAATAGTATCTCACCTTCTCCCTTTCCCTGTTGATTGCTTTATTGCTCTGACAAGTAACCTCCCTCTTCTTATGGAACTCTACCTTGAAATCCTCTGCCTCCTCTATTATTTTGCTTAGCAGCTCCCTTTCCTTCTTTTCCTTCTCCTCCAATCGCAAGGCGTTCTCCCTGTGCACCCAAACAACGGAACGAAAGAAAAAACGAGCAAGGAGAAGATCATTGTTGAATCGCCATTTCCAATCGAATTCTCTGCAATTTAGCCCTATCTTAGCAGGTATGCACATAAATTTAGCCTACCCGTCTGAAGATCAGGCACAAACTTTCGATCAAGCATGAAATCCGCCAAAGAAGGAAGCCAATTGACTACGCATATTCGCAATTTCGTAGTTCCTTCATCGCCAATTCTCTATCTCATCACAAACCAAACAGAATCGTGAAAGGGATTGAAAGAAATTGAGCATTTACCTTGTCCACTCTCTGAGAGCGAGTCCGACCTCCGCCATTTCCGATGGAGCCGGCAGAACAGGACCACTGGATCCACCAAAATCTCCATCGAAACCGCTGCTCCCGTTCTCCTCCGCCGTCCCGAACTCTCCGCCCTCGCCGTAGATCGGAGCAGGCTCCGAGGCGTAAGCGTCATCGTTAGGCGCGAAGGAGTCGAACTGTTCAGAATTGTAACCTACGTAATCACCACCATCGCCGCCGTGGCTGTGGCTGTTGCTGTTGCCGAAGTGGACAGGCGAGTCGACCTCAGTGACTTCTGAGTCGTCGAACGGGTCAACAAATGTGGACATCGGATTCTGTGCTGGGCGATTATTTTTTCCCCTGTTTGACGATGTTAAAATGAAAAGGGGCGTCTCGTTTTCGCAATGAAGAAATCTATCATAATGATTCATATGGAGAAGGGCTTATTATCATCACGACTCACGCTTGGACCGTTATCTTCTTAACTTAAATGGGCCCAAATGTTTGGGCTTTCACGTTTGGGCTTGAACTTCGGTGTAGCTGTAAATGCGCTTGATATTATGGAATAAATCTCGCCAATTTAATTTTTTCTTTTTAAACGTAATCAGATAGTACATATGAGTAATATAATCGGAGTTAAACTACCTGTGATAGTGGACCAATATTCAAGCTCCCGATGAAAGAACTTATTGGGCCATAAAATGGACAACTCTATTGAAGTTTTGAAGAGTAAAGGAACAAAAACAAAAGTCGAAATTCAACTCTAGCCTGCGAACATACTCCAGAATTGCTTCTCCCAAATCATGTTTAATTTCACCCGTTATGACTCGCCGAACCACCAATTGTGAGTCGCCGCAGAAAGTGATAGAGAGAAAATCTCAAATTAGACACCAATTCATAGCATCACGCAAAACTAAAAGTTCCATAAGAAAAAGGATCCTTGATTCCATCAAAAAAACTTATTGAACTCAAAGAGTAAGGGACCATATGGATCAAACCCAACAAAGCCCGTACCACCACCTGTGATGGTGTGGGTATTACTTGATCCATAGTAGCACTAGCATGAGATGAGACATAAATATATATTTCTCACCCGTCTTGTCCCGCCCCATCCCATTCTGGGCCCATTGTATCTCAATTTCTTATAATATCTATTCTTTTTATTTATTTATTTATTTTAACTAGTCAAACTTTATGTTTCAACTAATAAAAATCAATTACTCATTCTATTATCACTATTTTTCATTCATAAAGCATTTTTCTTCGTTTTTATCATAAAAGTAAATTTTTACGTGTAATTTTTTTCTTCAAATGTGTAAAGAGTGGGTCGACCTATTTCACCCCATACCAAGTGAGTATTACCCAACTACACCCAAACTTTATTACGGGAAATATGTGATTATTGAGATACCCACCCACCCGTTTATTATCGCTAGTTTTTTAATCAATGCGGAAGGGTCAAGGTGGAGAATTAGTATATCCCGGTCCCCGTGAAGTAGAGGGCCAGAAAATAAACAAGTCGATGATCATGATCATTATAAAATTTATTTTATCGTCGTTGACGATGATTATCATTACTTATTACTTAAGATCAAATTAAATGATTCCGCGCTAAAATTAAAATTACATTTTCCTATTAGCTTATGCATGTTATTCTTTTTTTGCCAGCTGGAACAGCGTGGCACATAATTGGATATCCACATCTTGCTGTCTGAAATCTTCTCCAAGCTAGTTAGTTTGATCCTCTTGTAGTTTTTACGCTTTTAGAGAAATACTTTAAAATAAAGAAATTGAGTATTTGTTTAAAAAAATTATTATTAGAAGTATTTTTTTAATATAAGAGGTAATGTGAAATAACGAAGAAAATTTTATAATATAAAATAAAAATAAAATTTTAAAAAATTCAATGAAATATAAGTGTTTTCTGTGCACAACATCGATGCAATTTATAAACAATATTGGCTTCAATGGAAATGAAAAACAACACAAGAAAAGAGAATCACGATCGAGGCCCCAAGACCCCAACGGCCCAACTACTGCATGTACACCATCTATATAATCCTTGCTCCGATCCGTTCCACTCGCGATACTAACACCGGCGGCCACCGATCATCATCAAGCAAAGCAATGGACGCCGTTGATCTATTGGCAAACAACCTGTTTCCTCGGGAAAACCAAATGCCACCGCCGGTGCCGAATTGGTTTCCGGCGATGTTGATTCGATGTTTCACGATGGAAACTCTTGCGGTGCCGATTGAACGGATGCACCGCCGATTGCTGAAATCGAGACGATCGTCAAATATCCGCCGCCGAATGTCGGCGCCGTTGATTTGATCGATGCACCTCTAAATGGTGAAATCGACGTGATCGTCAAATATCCGCCACCGAATGTCGGCGTCGTTGATTTAATCGATTCACCTCTGACTTCTAACCAACGCGACCGTTACTACGGTTCGCACCTCTCCAAACTACGTTCGAACGAGGGTGTTTGAGTTTTTGAGGAATCTACGCTACCGCTACTCCTATGGAGATTCCTGTGGAGAGCTCCGCGACTACGACTAAGACTA